GCTGCATCCCCGTAATAGCGTGACACCTAGGGAGGGGGGGGGGGGGGGGGTGCGTTTGGGCAGCACTTGGGTCCTACTGGGAAGGCACTGGTGCTACTTGCGTCGCAATTAGCCAAAACTTGCCCGCCGCACAAAAAAAAAAATGCACTTGGCAGTACGAGGAAACGGAATAAATCTCCATCCAGGGGGATGTGCATATATATTGATGAGGCGTTGAGTGGGGCTTGGAGTGGGCTGGGGTGGGCAGATTTCGTGTTAGCAATTTCTTTTTATTAGTATTATCTTTAATGGCACAAAAGTTAAATGGACCATGCTCTTAGTGGATGAGAGGTGAACTCCTGCCCTGCAGCCCTGAGTCAATATTAATGCTTTATGGGTTTTTAAAAGAGACTCTAAATGAAATTTTATTTATGGTTAAAAGCAAGAGGGTGATAATAACAAGCGGTGTTATTATAATATAAATAATGATATGTGCTCTGCCTCTCCTGCTTGCCCAGCTAGCAGGGGCTGTAGGGCGAGGCGTGGCGACGTCCTCTGGGTTTGTCACTGCACACGGATTTGCGGGGGGGGGGGGGGGGGGGGGGGGGGCGTCGTTTGCCGGAGTCGCCCAGGGAGGCAAGACAGGCCCCATTTGGTGCCGTTCTCACCTTGCCGCCTCCCCATGCTGTCAGGGCTGCCTGCCCTCTTTTCTTCCTGCACTCTCGTCCAGCTGCTTGCCGTTAATTTGCCGTAAATCTCTGTCGCCAACTCCTTTGCCGGCTCCATCCGGCTTCACACACGCCGCTCGTTCCCTGCCTTCATAATGGCTATTTATAACCAGCACCGGGTGCGTTCTTCGTTCTTGCAGCTCCCTCCGCCTCTCTGGCCGCTGTGTGCCATCTGATTGGGTTAACATTTTATTGTACGTAAGGCCCTTAACGTGATGCGTGCTTCTTCACTGTGTGCAATTTATCAGGATTCAGTCTTTCCCCTCCTTGCACTCTTGGTTGCCACAGTTTTTTTTTTGGTGAAATATATTCATATATATTTAGCACATTTAAAATTAAGCAGTGTTTCCCAGTGCCGTCCTCAGGGACCTGCAAGACAGTCCACTTTTTTGCTCCCTGCCAGGACCTGCAAAAATGTGGATTGTCTGACAGGGAATTGGGAGCAATAACGTGGATCATCTGTGGGTTCCCGAGGACCGGGCTGAAAAAGACTGATCTAAATGAAGGATACATCTTTTCAAAGATCAGGAAGTACATTGTAATGTGTATATCAATAGAATAACACCTGCCATTTAGTGGTGATATAGTGCTTGAGTTGTATGAGATCCTGTTTTCCCAGATTACTGTTTTGGTGATGCCCGTGTGATTATCGCTTTCGGTCAAAATGCACAGAAAATAGTTAAAGCATTCGACACTCATTAAGACACCAGCGTAGGAGTGTTTATGGACACGACTGAGAAACTGACGCCATTGCTAGACTCGTGCTTCGATTTGTTAAAGGACCAGGGCTAAATGAAACATAGGCCCGGTTTTCCGCAGTACGAACGCGGCTGCTGTGGCCTTCGGTGGTTGGTGTACGCGCGGTGCGCCTGTGAACACTGCTGGCCGGCATCCTTTTGCAGTTACGCGCCGTGATTTTTCACCTGTGTATCGTTCCACCAATAGAGAGGATGGAGACAACTGAAGAGCCAAGAGGGATGACTTTTAAAGGAGCCAAAGCCGATAAACGCTGGGTCTTTAAGGGCAATGAGAGCCTTGAAGCTGTGCTTCAGGGTGCGGAACAATGTAAAATAATCCCCTGCTCCCTTTGAAGTTTACTTTATATCTAAATGTGGAGGTATTGCCTCTTTTGACCCAAGGACAACAGGAAGTGAAGGCTGAAAAAAGCAAAAGCTGAAAAAACATTAAGAATTTAAACCATCTTCACTAATATATTCGGCAAGATGCAACTAATGAGTGGAGCTTGCTGACGGTCCAACAGAAGATTTAAGAAATCAGCTTTAGATTGTTTGTGTTCTCGTTACTTGTTAAATCAGTCTTTGTGTACTTTCCTATTCTCTGGCACTAGTTCGATATAAAACGGCTGGACATGGTGTTAGAATGAGTGAAGTTTAAACTCAAATAGTGAGCGTACAGATCTCTATTTAGCCATCATTGCACAATGAACTGGTGCCCTTTCGAATCAGGTATGAAAAAATAAAGCACCTTTAAACAGTTTTAAAGAGTAGTTTACAGCATCTTCCATTTCAGGCTATTTCATGCTTGCTTGATTCGTGCAGTATGGGACATGTTCTACATAACAGTTTGCTGTCAATCAGACGCTGCTGTTGGTCAATTAAAATGATCCTATTTATAGCTTCTCTTGCGTCATGAGGTGTGATCGCAGTCTTGGCCAAAAAAATCTTAACCGGTCCCCTAATAATGCTCCAAACATTTATTAAGTGTCTCAGTTTCACACAAGTTAATTTATACTTAATGCCGGCAGTGAAATGTGACTAAATTTAAAAAACTCATTCTACTTGGATCTGTATATATTCATTCCTGTAAATATATAGTTTTTTGTGTGCATATAAGTGAACAACCACCAACGTAAAATCTCTTGTATGTGCAAACCTGTTTGGCCAGCACGAAATGCAAAGCAAGACCTTTTTGAGATGTTGTAGAGCTCAGTATAACAGATTTATGGGAGATTTTTTGCCATTTTCATCATTTTTTTGTGGGGGAGAATTTGCATCAGCCGTGACTGTGGAAGGAGGAGAGAAGAGGGCTCAGAGTCACAGAAAAGTCCAAAAGACCACCCCTTTTCAAAAGTAATGGATACTAAACTGGTGTAACCATGCTTTTAAAGGCTCTGAGTGCTTTGGAAAGTGCTCAAAATGGAAATAGAAATCACTTTTCTCAATCCCAGGACCTTGAACTGTTTTCTGAAAGAGAGGAAAATGGAATCCTCAGTCTTTCATGCCTCAGAATTCCTTGGCCAGCGGCGGCCAGCTCCCAGTTCTCTCGCCGCGCGTTGCTTACTCCCGGCCACTCTCTCTAAGCCGGGGTCGCTCGACTCTGACCACGGCACAGAAACAGATTGTTGAAAGCCCAGTCCAAAGATAAAAGCGCGGCGATGCTCGAATCCATACTCCAACTGTACCCACACATTCAACAGCTACGTGACCAAGCAAGACAAGAGCTCTTGACACCAGCAGTTGCCTGTATGAAAGCATATCTTTCTCATCTCTTCCATATCCCTTGTTCAGTTATACATCTGCCTCGCCCTGTACCAGCTAAGATTCAGCCTGTGTGTTTCAGCCCCCCCCCCCCAACTCAGAAGCAAAATATCGTGATTGGAGTGTCATTATTTTTATATTAATCCTTATCAATTTAAAATCACGAGCATGAACTCGCCTTGCTGTGTTCTGTAATACAAAATGAAAAACGTTATCAGACAGTGAACTTTATTTATCGTAGATGAAGAATGCGGCTTTACGCATCCCGTGCTATGCGAGGAGCAAAAAAATGACCTTTTGTGATGATTCTGGTTTATCTGACCTTTCTGGATTCTGCGGCACGGATGTACATCGGCGTGTATTTCCTTCATCGCCACGGATTTCACCTCATCTTCACCTTTTAGCTTCCGTGTGTCGTCAGACTCGCCTTTGAAGGCTCCTGGACGTACCTGTTTCTCGTAAACAGGATGAAAGACTTTGTAAGAGTTTGGTGGGGGAAGGGGGGGGGGAGCCTGAATGCAGCAGCACTGACGTCCTTATGGCCGCTCTCCGTAACAGCACCCCCCCCCCACAGTCCCATACGAGGCCGCTGTGCGTTCACTCCAAGGACTTTTTCACCGACCATATTAATTAATGTTTTTGTTTTTCTGCGCACTGAGAGCAGCCCTTTGTGTGCTTGGCAATTATGGAAGACAAATAAAACCCAGTGTCCATGACGCTGTAGTGTACACTCACAGAGCACAGTGTTTAAATGTACCGCATAAAGTCATATCCGGCCTAATTATCATCTGGCACTAATCTGTAAATAAATAAAATGTAAAGTAGGCGTACAATATATTCCTGATAGGCTAATAATTAATGTCATCATTGCTCTTATATTTGGGACACATTTTGTTAAAAAAAACAAAAACAAACAAAAGCAGTATAATTAAAGCAACAGTCCATATTTATAACTGCTTGCTTGCTGTTCGTTTACTTTACTTGATAACT